GGGTCAAAAACTTCGAGATTGGATTGACCCGTAACAGTGCTCATAGACCAGCTACAGTATCCCAAATAGTGTCATTTTGAAAGGCTTGTCGACTTCTACCGTATCCATATCATTCGGTTCAAAAATATTAAGTCTGAAGAAAGTTATGGTCCGGTTGATCGTTGGTCCATTCGAGGAACGTCTTAAAAATGGTAAGTCGTGTTTGGGCTCATTTCGAAGCTCTCAATGAGCTGAACTGTGACATACCATTTTTAAGACGTTCCTCGAATGGACCAACGATCAACCGGACCATAACTTTCTTCAGACTTAATATTTTTGAACCGAATGATATGGATACGGTAGAAGTCGACAAGCCTTTCAAAATGACACTATTTGGGATACTGTAGCTGGTCTATGAGCAAAGTTACGGGTCAATCCAATCTCGAAGTTTTTGACCCATAACCTTGTTCATAGACAAGCTACAGTAACCCAAATAGTGTCATTTTGAAGTGCTTGGCTAGTTCTACCGTATCCAAATTATTTTCTCTAAAAACGTTGATTTTGAAGGGAGCTGACAGCGGTTAGACAGCTGTTAGTGCGTTGTTGGCCCGCCGGTGGTCCGTTTCAACCGCAATTAGGGTAAAAATGATGCGAAAATGAGAAACCATGAATTTTAGTCAATTTGCAACCTTAAAAAGATTTCACAATGACACTGTTTGGGACACTGTAGCTTGTTTGGAAGCAAAGGTACATGCCGAAAAGCTGTGACCGTGTTGCTGAGCCAGTTTTTAGCTTATAACATTGCTTATAGACAAGCTACAGTAACCCAAATAATGTCAGTTTGAAGCCCTTGTTGAGTTCTACAGAATCCAATTTAGTAGAACCGAAAATATTGATTTTGAAAAAAAGTTATAGGGCCGGCCAGTCGTTGGTCCGTTCTTGGGCCGTTTCAGCCGAAACTAGCTTAAAGCAGTGGAAAATGAAATTTTTGAAATCTTAATTTATTTCCAGTCTTCAAAACTAACCGAAAGCTTCAAAAAGACACTATTTGGGTTACTGTAGCTTGTCTAGAAGCAAAGTTACAAACTGAAAAGCTCGCGAAGGTTTTCGACTCATAACTTTGTTCATAGACAAGCTACAGTAACCCAAATAGTGTCATTTTGAAGCCCTTGTTGAGTTCTACAGTATCCGTTTTGATTGGTTCTGTAATATAGAATTTGAAGAAAGTTATGGTCCGGCCAGTCGTTGGTCCGTTGGTGGTCCGCTGTTGGTCTGTTTTAGCTAAGCATAGCTTAAAGCAGTGGAAAATGAAATTTTTGAAATTTTAATTTATTTCCAGTCTTCAAAACTAACCGAACGCTTCAAAAGGACACTATTTGGGTTACTGTAGCAGCTCGAGAAACGGCCCAAGAACGTTGGTCCGTTCTTGGGCCGTTTCAGCCAGCCTTAGCTTAAAATGAAGCTGAAAGTCAGCCAAAATTGGTCTAAAATAGCCCAAAAATAGCCTAAAATGCTTGCAGACACGTCAACGAATTCAATGGAAACATTGAAATCAACGGTGAAGCTCGCCACTTTGGAATCGACCAACTCCTGCTCCGCGGAGCCCGTCTCAAGAACACCGCCTGGATTTTCGGCGCCGTCATCTACACGGGACACGACTCGAAGTTGCTCATGAACTCGAAAAGAGCACCGTTGAAATCGGGAACCATCGATGTTCAAACCAACTACCGTATCATCTTCTTGTTCTTTGTTCTGGTGGCACTTGCATTGATATCAGCTGCGGGATCAGAGATCTGGAGGGGACACAACATTCCACAGGCGTGGTATTTGTCTTTTTTGGGTGAGAGGTTTTTGTCTGAAAATGGATCTTAAGCCTATTTACTTTTTGAAATTTTTTTTAAAAAATCTGAATTCGCCCGTTTTGCGAGCTTCAAAATGAGCTCAACACACGCTCCGCCCATTTTACCTTTTCGAACTTTAAAGGCGCATAGGGGGGGGGGGGTCCAAAATTCGAATTATAGAAAAGTAGGTCATGATTATACTCATTTTGAAGCTCTGGAAGCGTTGAATTTGAATATGAAGATTTTGAAACGAAAAATAATACAGAATAGAGCGTTTTAGAAGACGTCAGAAATCGAGTTTTCTGAAAATTGCCTGTAACTTGACTCCCCCTAGACCAAATTTTTTGAAAATTGCACTATTCGACAGGAAATGGTGAGAGCTTCAAAATGAGTATAATCATGATCTACTTTTTTTTTTCAAATTTCGAAATCTGGACCTCTATGCGCCTTTAAAGTCGAAAAACCAAAGCGGGCGGAGTCTGGTCGTGTTTGAGCTCATCTTAAAGCGCAAAAAACGACAAATTCAGATGTTTTGGAATTTTTGAATTTGAAAAATGATTGGCCGAGTCACGGTAGTCGCGTCTTTTGAAGTCAAAAATGGGCGGAGCCTAGTCGCATTTGGGCTCATTTGAAAGCTCTTGACAAGCCGAATTTAAAATTTTTGGAATTCTCAAGTTCTAGAGATTGAGAGCTTCAAAATGAGACCAAACACGACTAGTTTCCCTCAATTTTGAGTTTTTGACCTAAGCGTTGCGGTCGCGTCGCGGTTCGGTAGGTCAAAATTCAAAGTTGAGCTAAACTAGTCGTGATTAGGCTGATTTTTAAGCTAGAAAAACGAGAAAATTAGATTTGGTAAAATTTTTGAGTTTTAGCCAAATCTGAAGGGGGTTACAGCAGGAATGGGCGGAGCCTAGTCGCATTTGGGCTCATTTTGAAGCTATATATTTGCAGAACACGATCCGAAGGGTTCGTTCCTGTGGGGTGTGCTGACATTCTTCATTTTGTACAACAACCTAATCCCGATTTCCCTCCAAGTCACCCTGGAAATCGTGCGTTTCTTCCAAGCGATCTATATCAATAATGATATTGAAATGTACGATGTGAACAGTGATTCGTGTGCCATCGCGCGCACTTCCAATTTGAACGAGGAGCTTGGGCAGGTGAAGTACATCATGTCTGATAAGACTGGCACACTGACAAGAAATGTGATGAAGTTCAAACGGGTTTCTATTGGATCACACAACTATGGAAATAACGAGGATGACGAGTTTTCGGACGCCACACTTTTAGAAGACGTCGAGAGAGGAGATAAGCATGCGGAAGCGATTGTCGAGGTTTTGAAGGTGAGCAATTTTTAAAATTTGATTGAAATTAAGCCATTTTAAGCGATATTAGTAACCAAAATTCGCTGAAAAATGGCCTTAAACACGGACATCTGGACACACAGACAGAGAATGGCTGGAGCGCTTTTGGCACGTTCGAAAACATTGGTGACCTAGAAACATGAATTTCTGGTTTTCTAGGCCACTTAAAAATATGATATTCGAATTCCGCATAGTCGAAAACGTAGACATCCCAATTTTCAGCGCGATTGGAGCACTGTGAAAAATTAAGCTCCGCCCACTTTTTGCAATTCTGCCGCACACTTTTCGTTTACCCCTTCTACGTGGTCCTATCTTTCTGAAACTTGGTACATCTAGGTTTTTGACTATGCTAGACAAAAACCTGTTGAAATTTTCAGAATTTTAAGTTTTTAGACTCCGCCCACCTTTACCCTAAACTAAAATGACCTATTTTTGGGATTGCATGTGGGCGGAGCCTATTTTTCGAAAATGGTCCAATCGTTCTGAAAATTGGTACATCTACCAAATCGACACTGGCAATTTCAAATATCACACTTCCAAGTGGCCTAAAAAACCGGGAATTCGGGTTTCTAGGCCACCAAGGTTTTCGAACGCGCCAAAAGCGCACCAGCCTCTCTCAAATGTCTGTCTGTGTGTCCAGATGTCCGTTTTAGGCCATTTTTTTGCGTTCTTTCTGATTTTCAGCGAATTTTTAGTCGTTCTATATTCGGAAAGTTGGGTTTCTAGGCCACCAAAGTTTCGGGCTGATCTTTGGCCTACCACTTCATTTTGTGGCCCAAAAAAAAGCACCTAAATGACAGATTTTTGCTCGAATTTTTAAATTTTTTAGCGAAAAATTTTCCAGATGATGGCCGTGTGTCATACTGTAGTTCCGGAGAACAAGGACGACGGAGAGTTGATCTACCAATCGAGCAGTCCGGACGAGGCGGCACTGGTCCGTGGAGCGGCGTCTCAAAAAGTGACATTCCACACGAGACAACCCCAAAAAGTGATATGTAATGTATTTGGGACGGATGAGACGATCGAAATCCTAGATGTCATTGATTTCACATCGGATAGAAAGCGGATGAGTGTGATAGTCAGAGATCAAGAAGGAGAGATCAAACTATATACGAAAGGAGCGGATACCGTAATCTTCGAGCGCCTTGTGAGAGGATCTGAGCAATCCGTCGACTGGTGTACTGATCATTTGGAAGACTACGCCTCGTTTGGATACCGTACACTTTGTTTTGCAGTTCGAAAACTGTCAGATGGAGAGTATGAGCAATGGGCGCCAGAATACAAGAAGGCGATACTGGCAATTGAGAATAGAGCGAAATTGCTGGCAGACGCCGCGGAGAAGCTGGAGAAGGATATGGTTCTAGTTGGAGCCACGGCCATAGAGGATAAGTTGCAGGAGGTAAGGGTTGGGGTGGGGAGGGGGGCAAGAAGGCTGAGCAATCACCTTAAAATGCCTTTAAAATGACTGAAAATAGCTTGAAATTAGCTGAAAAATTGTCAGGAAACCACCAAAATAGGTCTAGGACACTTTGAACCCGAAAAATAGAATTTTGAGCAATTTTCCAGTATAATGACCGAATGGCTCAGTGGGATTTTCGATAGCAATCTCAACACCCGGGTTCGATTCCTCTTGGTGGCAAAATTTTTTGATTTTTGTGTAGACCATTTTTAGACGTTTCCAGAACAATCTAGTGCTGAAATTTCGATTTTTCGAAAAATCTGAAAGTTTCAGAAAAATTTTTTTTTTTGAAATTTTATCGAAAATGACTCTACAACGCCTTTTAGAAAAATTTTCAGATTTTTTTTGAAAAAAAATTTTCCCCAATTTTCAGTGGGTCCCCGAAACGATTCAAGCTCTCATGGCAGCTGATATCAGAGTATGGATGCTAACTGGTGATAAGAGAGAAACGGCAATCAACATTGCTCATTCGTGTGCCCTAGTTCATCCGAACACAGAACTACTGATTGTTGATAAGACAACCTATGAGGAGACTTACCAGAAGCTGGAACAGTTCTCAGCGAGATCTCAGGAGCTGGAAAAACAGGAAAAGGAGTTTGCAATGGTTATCGATGGCAAATCACTACTTCATGCACTGACTGGAGAAGCCAGGAAGCATTTTGGAGATTTGGCGTTGAGGTGTCATGCGGTTGTGTGCTGTCGAATGAGTCCAATGCAGAAGGCAGAGGTATGACGGGATTTTGGAGCAAAAATGAGCAATTATGGCGTTTTTATGCCCTTAAATGAGCTATTTAGGCATTGTTGAGACCCCCCAAATGACTTTATAGGTCAAAAATCCGGAAAAAAAATAGACCCAAATCTTTGGTGGTCTAGAAACTCGACTTTCCGGTTTCCTAGGCCGCTTTAAGATGTGATATTCGAAATTGGCACTATCGATTTAGTTGGTGTGCGAATTTTCAGCGCGATTGGAGCACTTTGAGAAAATAGGCCACGCCCCCTTTTCGCAATTCTGCCGCACACTTTCAGCTTTCCCCTTCAAAGTGGTCCTAGCTCTCTGAAAATTGGAACACCTAAATTTTCGACTATGCCAGACAAGAATTATTGAAAATTGTTGAATTTTAAACTTTAGGCCCCGCCCACTTTTCCCCCCTTATGTAATAATCCATTGATTCTGTTTAAAAGTGGGCGGAACCTAATTTCTTGGTTACTATTAGACATGATATAGTCGATTTGGTAGGTGTATGAATTTTCAGCGCGATTGGAGCACTTTGAGAAAATAGGCCACGCCCCCTTTTTGCAATTCTGCCGCACACTTTCAGCTTACCCCTTCAAAGTGGTCCTATCTTTTTGAAAATTGGAACACCTAAGTTTTCGACTACGCCAGACAAGAATCTCTTAACGTTTTTCAAATTAAAATTTATTAACCTCCGCCCACTTTTACCCTAAAATGTAATAAGCTAATTTCTGGGTTAAAAGTGGGCGGAGCCAAATTTCTCGGTTACTATCGAACTTGACATAGTTGATTTAGTGGGTGTACGAATTTTCAGCGTTTTGATTGGAGCATTTTGAGAAAATTGGCCACGCCCTCTTTTTTGCAATTCTGCCGCACACTTTTGAAAATTTGATATTTGAAATCAGCACTATCGATATGGTATACCCACCAATTTTCAGAAAGATTGGACAACTTTTAGAAATTAGGCTCCGCCCACTTTTTGCAATTCTGCCGCACACTTTTTGTTCACCCCTTCAAAGTGGTCGTATCTTTCTGAAAATTGGCACACCTAGGTTTTCGACAATGCCAGACAAGAATATGCTAAAATTTTCAAGCTCCCCCCATTCTGCCAAACTCCGCCCTCTGGTTAGAGCGCATTTGCCAATTTCCCCGGTGGGCGGAGCCTTTTTTTTTTTGCTCCAGCATTTCCAGAAATGTGAAGTTTTAGGACATAAAATTGAGATTGAATTATCTAGATTGCTATAAGAGATTCCAAAAAATGATCAACTGATAAAATGTTACTATTGTTATGGCAAACATTTTATCAGTTTATCACTTTTTGATATCTTTTTCAGAAATCGAGATGATTGACCTCAAAGTTGTTGTTATCAAATTAAACAATTGTAGGTCGTTGAAATGGTTCGAAAACTGGCGAAACACGTCGTGTTGGCTATTGGCGATGGAGCGAACGATGTCGCGATGATACAGGCGGCAAACGTTGGAATCGGAATCTCTGGAGAGGAAGGACTACAAGCAGCGTCTGCGTCGGACTACGCGATTCCGAGATTCCATTTCCTGAGGAGACTGCTACTGGTTCATGGTGCCTGGAATCATGATAGATCTGTGAAGGTTAGGGAGCATGCTAGCCATCCTGAAGCTTGCAATTTTTGTTTTTTAATTAAAAAGAAAGTTGTAGAGCTTGATGAGAAGATCTACAAAATGATACCAAATGGCTCCTTTTTTTATAGCTTCAAACGTCCACTTTGAAAATTTTAATTATCTCGGCTTCCTATAAGAGATATCAAGAATCTGTCAATTGATAAAACGATTGTTATAAAATGAGCAATATTTTATCAGTTG